TCCGGTAAGTGCGTTTGAACCTTGACCCAGAGACTCCTTGGACCTGTGGGTCCTCTCCTGCCAGCACCCCTGCTCCGTGGGGGTGGGGCTTCTCCATCGAGACTTTCTCAAGTTCCTGGGATGTTCTGAAACAGCAAGGTAAAGTGTTTGGGCCTCGGGACTCCTGGATTTTGGCACGTGAATGTTATTTGTGCTGCCACTGGGTGCAGGGGCACGGAGAGACTGGTTTTCCGCCCAGCCCTTTGCACACATTTTGCTTCACGGCATTGATGGCCACCTCCCCCTTGGACCATCCCTCATCCCACTGTGGGGGTCCAGCCTCCACAGCTGAAGGGGCCCTAGGGGTCAGTTAGAGAGACAACAGACAAGACCTGCAAGGGCTCCCCTCCCCTGGAATCTGGAACCAGAGTGTGTGCTCGAATGTGTTCTCTCAAGACTCACACGATCTGGGGCCTTCACGCCACGTCATGTGCCACGTCACACACCCGCACCAGGAGGGGTGTGCCTGGAGCGTGCTCGGACCAGGGAGGCACATTCGGAACCAGGTGGGCAGGTTTAGAGTGGAGATTGCGGCGGCTGCACCTTGGCTGTCTCTGCTGACTTGGCCTTGGGTGTCCTGAGCTTCTCTCCAGGGCAACAATGTACGATCCTTATCAGAAGGGAGTGGGCCGCCCTTGGGGTGGGCAGTCTGGTTGCCCTTGATGGCAGCTAACCTTCAAGCGTATAGCAGCAGCCATGGGCTTGCAAGTGGCATCTAAAAATTGGAGCCATTACGTGGGGACATCATGGGGGACAACTTTAGTTCGGAGAATGTGACTGGGGTTCACCTCCAGCTCACGAGCGTGAAGGCCTCCCTCCACCAGAGGCCTGGCCTCCCCGCTCCTTCAATGTGAGCGCAGAGAATTTGCCGGGAGACACTCTCTTCCCATCCTCTGTTTCGCACACCCATTGCTGCCCTGCCTCTCCAGCTCCTCACCTGGCCCTTCTGAGCGTGGCTCTTGGGGAAATGCCGCCCTTGTGGTCTCAAAGGGTCGATGGTTCTCAGCTGGGTGCACCTCCCCAGGGGCACTGCTCCCCTTCACAGACCTGTCTGGTGCTGGGCTGGAAAGGAGTCACTGGGAATGAGTCCGTTCCAGACCTCAAGGGTGACGGAGGGAGGGCCTAAGCCACCGGGGTCCCACCAGTCCCTATCCGACCACCGCGCCTGGAACAACAGTGGTGGCCGGCCACCAGCTAGGTCTTCTGGCCTCAGGGTCAGTGTGTGTGTGTGTGTGTGTGTGTGATATTTGCCCGGCCATCAGTCCTCAGACGAGTGATTTTCCTAGGTCCCTGGGTCCCCTCACTTCTCTTTGCTCTGGACACAGAGAGGCCAGTGGCTGCACCCCATGGTACCAGACCCCAGTCACTGCTCACGTTGTGCACACATGCCAGTTGACTGTGCAGCGCCCTGAGCGCCCTGGAAATGTAGCCCCCCAAGTCAATTCTCCCCTGGGTGATGGTTTCCATATGGACAGCACTGGGACGTAAAACGGAAGCTCACGGCTGACTTCATTCCTTCATTGGACAATGAGGGCAACAGACCCTCCCACGTGATAGGCCGGCCGAGTCATGTGACTTCCCAGAGGGCCCTCACCTGGGAGCTCAAGCTGCAGGAACAACACCTTTGCCGTTCAGGACCCCCGGAGAGGCTTTCTTCCCCCACACCGAGCGTGTATCCCCTCCTCTCCCACGAACCGTGTTTGTTGTCCTTGTGAGGTGTCAGCCCGTCCTCCCGACCCCCAGCGGCCCGGCCCGACAGGACACACAGCCGTGCTGCAGTGTGGAGCCCATGTGTGTCTGCAGCTGCTGACTCTCCCGGGTGCGTGACAACCCAGCCGCAAGTGAATGTCCCTCCCATCGTGCGGGTAGACTCTACTTTGGGGAGGCAGCTCTGAGCAACTTCGGACCTGAGGGGCCACCTTCCCGCCCGGGGTTAAGATAGGGTTCCTCTGCCCTTCCTGAGGTTTTCGGGGCCCCACCCCTCAGGTGTCGACGTGTATGCGCTCCACTTCCCCGCTCAAGGACTTCCGGTTTTCCTAGATTCACACTTGGCACCTTCCAAGTTGTGAGCGCGAGCAGGTCTCTGCAGCTGCTGGACGCGGAAGAAGGAAGGCCGGAGAACGGACGCGTCTGCACGGTGCTGCTGCAGCCCACGGGGAAGGAACTGCTGGGCCTCCGAAGAAGTACGGCCAGAGCGCTCCTTACAGGCAAGGGTGGCAAAGCGTCACCTCCCCGACTTTGGACATGTGGTCAGGAGAGACCAGGCCCTGGAGAAGGGCAGCGAGAACGAGGAAGCCCTCCTGGAGGTGGACGGACACCGTGGCTGCAGCCCTGGGCTCGGGCCGAGGGACAATCACGCGGCAGGTGCAGGACCGGGTGTGTTTCCCTCCCAGCCGGGGACCATCGTTTCCTCCTTCGTAGCTTGTTCCTGGGCTGGAAGCTCTGCTCAAACCTGTCCCCACGGAGGACCCTGCTGGTGTCTGAAATGCTGCCACCATCAGTCACCCCAGCCACCACATCATGGCGGCGACCAACGCGTGGCCGAGTTATGTCTGGAACTCGGAGACGCAGCCTTGGAAGCTGTGCCGGACTGGACGGCAGTGGGGTGGATAAGCCAGCACAGCTCCCGCCTGCTGGCCTGCAGTCCCCCTTGGACGACCTCCAACCCCATTTGCTGTGGCCCGCTTTCCCTCACACTTGCCTCCCGTGGCCTGGGGGGCGGGGTCCCATTTCTCCCTTCAACCTCTCACCGCTCTGGCAAGCAGGGCCCACCCCGCAACCCTTTCCACAGCCTGCTCTCCCACTGCCACTGCTGGGGCCTTCCCGGGTGACGGGGCAGCTCCACCCCGGGCTGGGCCAGGGTGTGGCCACTGGAACAAGTCTGGGCAGAACCCTGGTAAAGCAAGTGTCTCATAAACCGCCATTGCTGCAAACCAAGAGAAAGCTCCCCCTCGGGGCCTGTGGAGCTGCTCTTTCCTCTGAGG